GGACCAGTATTCCAGCCAGCTCTCACGCTGGTTGGAAATACTCCAGGAAGTATTCCTTCCAAGTGGTTTACTGCAGGGGTGCGAGGCACTGTAATGCCGATGCATGATCTCACTTGCCGCTGAACAGACGCTGCGCATGCTGGTCGGGCGCGGGCCAGTGTAAACAGCCGTAGGCCGTAGGCTGTTTACACTGGGGGTCGTAGCAGCCTTGAGTGACCCACCACCAGCCATAGCAGTTGCACATAGGGATGACACATTTGGCCTCACATATGCTGAATGGGGCAAGCTACAGATGGAGGATGTCTCCCTGTTGAACTTACGGCGCCACGCAGAAACTGACCACAAGAACCCCGGGCCTAAGGGAGTCTCATCCTTCAGGAAGGTCTGCTGATGAGGTGGCAGGAGGTTTCGCGACGGTTGTGTATTGTGGTCCCCACCTCCCTGCGAGGCAGATTAACGCAGGCAGTGCATGCAGAGAAGTTTATGCACCTCAGGCATCGGAAAACTTTGTTAACCGTGCAACGAGTCTTTTATTGGCTAGGAATGTCGAACAATGTCTTCCATTTGATCAAAGGTTGCACTGATTGCGCACGCCGCAAGCCGCCATCGCAAAAATCTCAACCCCCGTTACAGTCCATCACGGTGTCCAGCATTAACAAACTGGTTGCGCTAGACATCCTGGGACCCTTCCCAACTACACAAAAAGGGAATACATTTCTCTTAGTTGGGGTTGAGTATTTTTCCCAGTGGTAAATGGCCTGGCCATTGTCCAACCACCCATCTGTATCCATAGCCAGTGCATTTTTGCATGGCTATGTGATAGATAAGGGGGCCCCTGAGCAGCTTATCATGGACCAAGGCCAATATTTCTCGTCCAAGCTGCTGCATGAACTGTGCGATGTGCTGGGCACAAAAAAGATTCGAACATCGCCATACCATTCCCAAACGGATGGTGTGGTGGAACGCCTGCACAGAACCCTGACATCGATGCTCTGTCAGGCAGATAATGAGGCACAAACGGATTGGGATTTAGACGTTCCGGGAGTCTTGGCTACATACAGGATGGCCCCACACACCTCTATGGGATTCTCCCTATTTTTTGTCATGTACGGGAGCGAAAACGAACCCCCTATTGAGGCACAATTGGGTATGGCCTCGGGGAAGAAGAAAGCAGCCATACCCGTTCCCTTGCAGGTCACGCTGCGTCGTGTCTCTGAAGCTCATGAGGCGGCCATAGAAAACACTGCTAAGACGTAAGCCGCTAACGAAAAGAACGCAGGGTGGCGCGAGCACGTGCTTAAATGGGCAATCGGGGACAGGGTCTGGTTATACTGCCCTCAGGTGCCACTGGGTACGTCCCCCAAATTACATCGGCCATGGCAGGGTCCCGACGAGGTGGTGGAAGTCAGGAGGCCTCAGTGTGTGCGAATTCAGGCGGGACGCCCCGCCGCCGTTGGTTCATTCACCTGTCGTGCCTGAAACCATATGTTCAGCTTTCTGCTGACAGCTCACCCCCAAGCCCTGTGCGGGCGATATCTGGTGTGTCTGATGAGCCGGGGAAATCGGCCAAGGAAATTGTGCCTCAGAAAAAATGCGTTGTGCCGCCCACAGTTTCCAAGCCCCTGAAGCCCGGGGAACCGCAAGAAGCTACGACGTGCAATGGACCGCTGGCTGAAGCCCGGCCTCCGCAGAGTCCAGGGATGAGCCTACCCCTTCAAGGCTTTTGTGCAAGCCCCCATTGCCCGGAGAGGCACAGAAATCCATCTAGAGCGATGGACCGGCATCAAGGACCCGGTCTAAGTGCCTACGCTTCCGCTAAGGGATCTCCCATTGTCATGGCGGGATGTTTTTTTCTACATTCCAGATTTTTCACCCTAATGTGCGTCGGTCATCGTGTTGTCTATTTATGCATTTCGTCTGCCCTAATGTTCGTCGGTTGTCGGGTTGTTTATTATGCAGTTTGTCTGCCCAAATGTTCGTCGGTTTGTTTATCATGCAGTTCGTTTGCCCTCAAGGTTTGTCGGTCGTCGGGTCGGTTATTTATGCTGTTCGCCTGTCCTAAATGTTCCGTGGACGTTGGTTTAATTATTATTTTTTGCTGGTGTGGTTCTTCGGGCCTGACGCGGGACACTCTCATTATGACCCGAGATAGCTGTTTTTTTTAGAAGAGGGGGGTGATTTAGAGACATTGCGGGGAGAAAGACAGTGTGTGTGTGGAGACAGTGCGGGTGCAGGTACAGTGCGTGGCTGAGTACTCACGAGGGGTAACTACAGGAGGGAACTATTTGGGAAGTTCGGGAAAGTGCGATATAATTCGAGAAAGAGGGCGTGGCCGGGGCGGAGTGAGGGCCATGCCAGCAATAAGAAGGGGTGAGAGGCGAGGTTCGGGGCTGCTGTGGGATCGGGGTCGACTGCCTTCACGCCGTCGCTATCTTTACACCATCACTGTCTTCCGGCCGTCGTTGTCTTCACGCCGTCGCTGTCTTCGTGTCGTCGCTACTTGCATGCCATCCCTGGCCCAAGTCATCTGTGCATTATCCTTGGCCCAAGCGATCTGTGTGTTATCCCTGTCCAAGTTAAGTTACCTGCGTGGAGCGTCCTAAATAATAAATAAACCTCAGTTCACAGTTCAAGTTGTCCGAGCGTCACTACACTAGTAACGAATTGGCATAATCTGTTTAATGACAAACCTTACTAATTGGCTGTCGGGTGGTGGCGGGTATAACAATACATATTTACGCGATGTAACCCAAAAAAACCTGTATTATGGATGATATTGGTTGCGAAAGCCTACATGTTAAATTAAACTAAACAATTTTTATTTTACCAGGTAAGGTCCACTGAAATAAATCTCAGTTCACAGTTCAAGTTGTCCGAGCGTCACTACACTAGTAACGAATTGGCATATTCTGTTTAATGACAAACCTTACTAATTGGCTGTCGGGTGGTGGCGGGTATAACAACACATATTTACGCGATGTAACCCAAAAAAACCTGTATTATGGATGATATTGGTTGCGAAAGCCTACATGTTAAATTAAACTAAACAATTTTTATTTTACCAGGTAAGGTCCACTGAGCTATACAGCTCTTTTTCAGAAGCGACCTGTCCACAAATTATAGCTCAACGAAGTGACTTATCAAGTGTAAATTTATAGGAGCTAAATACTCTAAACGCATGTTGATTCAACCAGGGGGAGAACGTGCAAAATCTAAATATACAGGAGTCAGGGTCGGGGTCGAACCCATGCCCTCCTGCATACCAGGTGAGGTAGTTAACATTTCGCCGATTGTAAAACTTGGCGATTTACAATAGGCATAGACCCTTGCCCTCCATGGCCCAACTCCCTCCCTAGAAGACCCGAAGTCTGCTCGTTTTGCCACCATTCCCAGATCACCGAGTTAGTCTGACCCCAAGTCTGCCGACGACTACGGTCGGAAGGACCTCCCTCTCTAGCGGGCTCCATTCTGCCCTTCACGCCGCTGAGCCCGGACTATCTCGTCGCTCGCGTTATGGCGCCTTCACTCAGAAACCACAGCCCTGTAATTTTGGCGGTGAAATAGTAGCCTTCAGGCCCACCCACGACAGGGCCCACCTATGACACCTGGCTCACCCATGACAGGGCCCACCACAGGTTGGTTGCCGCGAGTGGGATGGAATTGGGGGGCTTGACGGTCATTGGCGCTTTTAGAGGTGAGGCAGTCACCGGCACGCAGGTGCAGCTCGGCCCGTCACCATTCTCACCGCTGTGAGCCCGAACAGTGCGTCACCTGCACGATGTCGCCCTACCCAAACCCGCCCTGCTTAACAGTTCATTCGTGTGACAAGTTTGAGGCACCGAGTCAGGGTTATAGTTACAGGTTAAGGGTTATAGTTGGGGGTTAGTGCTTTGGATTATAGCTAGGGGGTTAAGATCCCTCCCTTGGTGGCGTGGTTTCTTCCCTCTCTCTGGGCCTGCGCTGTTGGTTGGCCACGGCCGTTGTCCCTCGGTCAAGGGGCTGGAGTGTCGGCCGAGCAGAACATTCCACCCCTTCAGTAATCCTACAGCCCAAGCGCTGCAAAGTTTCACTAGTTTTGATGCAGTTACCCTAATCATAAGAATTATTATAAAATAACAGTTCAGACATTGTCATTCAGAATCATACAGTAAACCTTAAATAGCAACGTCGTGTTTAATTGCTATTGTTGGTAGCTGTGACCGGGAATCAAACTCGGGTTGTCGGGTTCGTAGCAGTGCGCTAATCGCTACACGACTGCTTCCACTGTAAACACTTATAAAGAAAATTAACACTGCATAAGAATTGCATTGAATTCAATGCACACATTTATCTATTACAATAATCAGCCATCTTGTATTGGCAGTCAGCATTAAACAAGCAGTCATCTTATGCTGGAAAGAAAACATTCTAATCAATGTATAAATGGTCGAGATTGTAGTAATTTACACTTGACAATGTGTAGAGAACTAAATAATTCTACCAGAGGGTGAAGCAAAACCACAACATAAACCCATAACACCTAATCATAACCCCCAGCCCTAACCATTAACCTATAATCATAACTCTGTGCCTCAGACCTGTCACATGAATTGACTGTGAGGAAAGGTGGGTTTGGTTAGGGCATGTCTTATAAAAACCACAACCCTAACTCTGGCCTCAGACTTGTCACGTGAATTGACTGTTAAGAACGGTGGGTTTGGGTCGGGCATGTCATGGCTAGAAATGAAAAAGGCCAGTGGTCGAGGACTAACAACTGACTGGCAGCCAAAGGAGGAATGCGCCAGAGAGCACATCCTCTATGGAGATGGAGTGATCATTTCAGTTTGTGCGCAGGGGCTGGGTGGATTGATTCATTGCAGGATCGTGAGAGGTGACGACGACTTGGGGAGGCCTTCATCCAGCAGTGGACTGATCCTGGCTGCTGATGATGGTTGTGGTGGTGAAGATTGGGGAGGCCTTCATCCAGCAGTTAATGAATCATGAATGACACAATCAAGAGCTACTGTTGACGCAATTCTTTATTTCCTATACTGCAATGACAACATTTAGTAACAATAAAGATATTTGAAAGTATTTCGCAAAACTGAAATGTATAATTACTTTAAAACAATGAAACAGGACTGGATGTGTATGCAATGATAATGAAGAAAATAACACTCTGCACATCACGCCAATAGCATTGGTTTATGTTTAAAGGCAAAAATCTAAGCGTGCTACTCTCTAATTTGTATCTGACATCAAGAGAATTTAATAATGAGGGAATTGTCAGAACAATTTAACACTTTAAATGACACAACAAATGCTCAGATTGTTGACATTGTTGAGAAAGCAAACGTCTGCCAGTGAATGTTTTACTCTGCTAGTAGCGGAGGGTGGCACAACGCCTTCTAAAACGAGCAGCTTCTGCATCTACCCGAGTAGCAGCCACCTTGTCACGTAAGTCGGCAGCTAACATGTGCTGAGCGCTCACGAGTTGTTCCAGGTCCCCTTTGCATGCAGCAAGAGAATGTGACAGCCCTTCCCCTGCCTGGACACACAGTCACGTTTAAGGTCATGGGCAGCAAATGGATAGAAACATATCTGTGGGACCATTTGCCAGTATGAAGATGATAACAAATAAGAGGCTTTACCCTTTCTGGCATAAATACAGGTGTTAAGATGTTCGTACAGCACAAGGTTGATGCAAATGCCAAAGCATGAATAGCTCGGGTTAAGAAATTTATATATATAACTATAAAAATATAATTGGGAGGGAGGGAAGATGCAGAAAGAGAAATGTTGCGATATGTAATTGCTATATCCATAGATTTAACTGCTGTACTCACGTAGGCTTTCGCGACCAATATTATCCATACTAGAAGTATAAATGTGTCGTTTAACCCGCTATCACCCAACACAGCCAATTAGTAAAGTTTGTCAAGGAAACAAAACATGCCCAATAGTTACTAGTTCAGCACACTGGTGTATTGGAGGGTAAACTGATATGTAAATAAACCCCAAATGTAAATGTTGTGAGGTGGACGGGTTGAACGACATTCATATTTACACAATCTAACCCAAAAAACCTCTGTTATGAACTTCTGTACTGTTCGCCTTTGATCGAGCACTGGTGAGACAAAGCCATAAAAGAGGCTGTCTGGTGTTTCATGTTCAATGCATGCGTTATCAAAGCATATTTGTTTGCACGTTTTACCACAAGCATGTGTGGGTTCGTGCAGACTTGATGCCTTGTGATAGGTGTCGATTTGGTGTTTGAACATATTACCACCTCTTGTATTCATGCCATAGAGGGTAAAAAACATCAGAATAAAACTTAGTTCAAACACAGTTGCTGAGTACAGATCGAAAAGCTCGGAATGTAAAAAGGCCAGCATCAAATAGTACAATAAAGGTCTAACATAAGATTAAACACATTTATTCAATCGAGCAAGGTTATAAGAGCTTGGAAAAGAGACAATGGGAGGGAATTTCAAAGTGGAGGAGTGGGAGAGAAGCAGAAATATAATTATGGTGGCCTGCAGTGTGGTGCGTGAGTTGATCGATGCGTACATGATTAGGTGTGTGAGTGAGCATTGGATTAGTGAGTGAATAAGTGGATACATTATTAAGTTAACAAATTAACCTGTTGTGAACTGCAGTGTGGTGGTTGAAGACAGTACAGACATGATGAAACAGTCAACATAGGTGGAGGAATCAGTGAGTGAAGTTGACAATAACAGTAACCATGGTAGTAGCAATATAAGAGTGATAAGGAGACGACTTCGCCGTGAGTGAGCAAGTGACTGAAGGGAATCAGCTAGTGATGGATCATAAAACACCCAGACTGCTCGACGTTGAGACACCTTTGCAGTTTTGTTCTTGGAAGATATTATTTTGAATGGATTTTATTGTAATTTTCTTGAAATAACTAGGCTTCACTGCACAGATGGACTCACCTGTAAGACTCCAGTTGCTTCAGGCAGCTGAGTTCCCGGGTGCCTCTGGTAAACTTTGACCATGGGTCGATCCAAACGCTCTCTCAGTGGAATGTCACCGTATCTCTTGGGACCCTAAACCACAGCAAATAGAAGATGTCACGCAAAAGCTATGCACGCTCGTATACTCATGTTAATACTTATCTGCATGCTTTTACCTGGCTGATATGTGTAAAGTGCCAATTCTTTCCAGTGTCGGTTGTCATCACGCGCTGATTTGCTTGTCCCACGCTCTGAGACATCGAGATACAGTCCCTATAGTTTTGCAGTGTAGGGCATTTGTTGAGCAAATGCCCAGAGATTCAAAATGTCAAGTGGCCAGCAGTAAACATCATTATCAAAGTTGTAACAGATAAGAGTTAACATATTTCTCGAATTGAACAAGGTTATAAGTCCTCTAGAAGAAAAACGACGGAAAAGCATCCCAAAGTCCAAAAGTGAGAGGGAGGAAGCATAAAGAGAAGTGTTTTGACCGGCAATGTGGTGAATGGGTGAGTGTATGAGTAGTATACAGGCGTTCGAGTGGACAGGTTCTGGGTCCAGTCACCATGAGGGGTGGACAGTCCTCCACTTGGGGCAGAAAACTGCCAAACAACAGGGAGTTGTTTTTATTTTGAACAAAATTATGAAGACGGTGTGGGAGCGTGGAGGCAAGGTGTGGGAAGCTGAGTCCCAGGCTACTGTGGACTCGCCTCCCCATCAACAGGATGCGAGGAATGGTGGTGGTAGCTCATTCCCCACCAAAGATAAACAGCAGTGGAGGGACGCAAACAAAGCCGATGAGTCAGCTGCCGTCTATGACTGGACCTAGGTGCTGGCTAAAGTGGCCCCTCGGAATAAGGCTCATCTTGTGGGGTGAGTTTAGTGCCCAAGTGGGTCATGACGCAGGCACCTAGGCTGGAGTGATTGGAAGGCATCCGCCAGAACAATTCAATAACAACGGTAGATGACTACTTGACTAATGTGCAGCCCATGGGCTTGTAATCATGAACGTATAGGCTCACATACATAACATCATGGATGCATGCTAGGTCCAAGCAAGAACATCCGCTGGACTACATAGTTATGGAACAGTGAATGTGGGCCCATGTCCTTGACACCAGGACCTACTGTGGAACTGATCTGCCCATTTCACATGTGCGTGTCATCTGTAAGATGTGCCTGGCATTCAAACTCACAGTAGCCTGGTCTTGGCTTGCTGATGAAAGTTGCAAGTTTCATCATTGTGTGTTGGCACAGTGCTGGCTACTGGCGAAAAAGGGGATCTGCGGTGTATAGCAGTACTGACGTCAGCAGGCCATGAGAGACACGAGGGGGACATCTAGGGTCAAATGTCACAGAGGGGGCCCATCGGGAAGCCTCTGGAACCCACTAGTAGGTTTCACAGAGGGGGCGTGGCCGGGGCGGACCGAGGCCACACTGAGAGTATAAGAGGGGCCCCTGTGGGGGACCTCGTGGCTGTTGTTGGGAGTGGGATCCCCGTCGTGCTACTGAAGTCCATCATTGCCATTCTTCTCGTCATCTTCACCATTCTTCTCGTTGTCGTCACCATTCTTCTCGTCGTCGTCTCCGTCTTCACCATCTCAGGGCGCCGCTAGACAGCCTACCAATTGTTCTAAGTAGTGTCACCAATAATAGATGGACTAAATATTAAGTGTGTTAATCCCGATGGTGCTTGTTCAATAAAGTAGTACCTTCAAGTCTTATCATCTCTGAGTTAGTCACTACAATTGCTTAAATTAGGGGTTGGCATACCCCCCCCCCCCCCCCCCCCGTCTTCCTGATGCAGAGGGGAAATGTGTAAGGTTCAGGAATGTGAATCATGTAGCTGCTATGGCTGCATTGGATACACAATGCAGAGACCCTGGTTGATGAAGTATTCAGATTAGCTAAAAGAAAGCGGTAGGCCCACCTCCGGGCCTTTGCTCGGGGGTTCAGAAAGCCATGCGGTGCTTGAAGGAAGAGTAGTGATCACGTGTTGCTGAAGAGATGGAATATGCCACAATCGCGCACAACCACAAATCACTCTTTAACTCCAGTCGTACACATTTTTTTTTAGGAAGGGAGACAACACTGATTGTAACAGTTTTCAGGATATCTCCCCCCTCAGTGTTCCGATAAAGGTTTTGGCAAATATTCAAAATTGTCTTGCCAGACATGCTGAGAAGCTTGCAGATCCCCAATATGGTTTCAGAGTGGGGCGGTCCTGCTCTGACGCCATATTCTTTGTCCATCTGTTATAGCAGAGGTGTAAGGAATTTTAACAGGACCCACACCGCTGCTTTATTGACTTGGCCAAGGCCTATAACACAATCCATAGGCCAGGGCTCTGGATAATTCTTTGTGCTTTTCGGGTCCCTGACCTACTACCGGAGGAATTTCCATCTGGTAAAGATACAACAGGAGGCTGATCGATGCCTTGGTGCTGTCAAGTGATGGTTCCCGATTGATCAACCATGTTATGTATACTGATAATCTGGTAATTGCTGCTCGCTCTGTGAAGGCGTTGGATATTCTGATGCAGAACCTTGATCGTGCCTTACCATCAGTCCTATAAATACAAAGCACCTGCATTGGTATATCACATCATTAAACACTCCACCCCCTCACTCCCCATTGGCAGTGGCTGCTCGTGACATTTCCACTAGGTGGGCTGTGGTTAGTGATCTCCGAAAATATGGTGTTATAATTAATAAAAACCTCGTCATGTTATTGGCCTTCCCGTGAAAGTGATCTAACTGTCTTATCTACCAACAATAGGCATTTATAAACAATACAAAGCACTCAAATGCTGTCCACATGACCATAAAGTCCACACTACACAACCCCTTTGACACCAAAAGCCTATAGCATCTTCTTTGGTTCTTTCGGTAAAGTCACGTAGAATGAGAATAAAATAATAAATTGATAAAATAAAATAACACAAAAAATTCTCACGACGTTTCGGCCACAACACAAGCGGCCTTCATCAGGTGAAGGGACGAGACTGTCTGGAGGACAGCGATGGAGCGAACACAGCCAAGCTCAGACCGCGACCTTTAAGCGGTAAAGATACAACCATTAGCCTTAAGAGCTTGGTGTACGTGCTTGAGTTCACTGGCTATGTGTTCCTGGTCGGATATGCATTGGGCTCTATGGTGCAGAGTCTTGATGAGGGAATTCTTCTGGGATGGATGGTGGTGGGAATCCGGTTTCAGGTAAGCATCCGTATGGGTAGCTTTCCTGTAGACAGAGTGGCTCATTGAACCATCAGGTCTCTTTTTTATTAGGACATCCAAAAAAGGTAGCTTGCCATCTTTTTCGACTTCCATGGTAAATCTGATGGCTGGGTGTATGTAATTGATGTGGTCGAAGAATTGGTCTAGAGCAGGCCAGCCATGTGGCCAGATGACAAAAGTGTCATCTACGTACCTCTTCCATAAGGTTGGGTGCAGAGTGGCAGTCTGGATGGCGTCAGTCTCAAATTTCTCCATGAAAATGTTGGCTACAACCGGAGATAGGGGGGAGCCCATTGGGGTGCCCTCAGTTTGTTTGTAGAACGTTCCATTCCAAGTGAAGTATGTATTGGTTAAACAGTGTCTCACCAGGGGGGGGGGGGTACCTCAGTGTTTATTCCTTGATGAACCAAGTCTTAAATGATTGCGATGGTGTCAGGTACAGGAACTTTGGTGAATAAGGAAGCTACATCAAAACTGACAAGCAGGTCGTCTGGGGACAGGGAAATACCCTTGATTGTCGATACCAGGTGAGTAGAATTTTGTACCGCAGAGGTGGTTTTTCCAGTGAAAGGCCACAGGATTTCAGACAGAAAACTAGCCAGTTTGTAGGTGGGGGAGTTGATAGTAGAGACGATGGGACGAAGGGGTGCATCTACTTTATGTACTTTTGGTAAGCCGTATAATCTTGGTGGCCTGGCAGCAGAAGGTTTCAACGAGAACTGTTTAGTTTGATCTATTAATGCGGTTGAATCAGAAATGATTTTGTTGGTTTTTATGACAAGGCTGTTGGTGGGATCTCTTTTTATTTTTGTATAGCTGCCATCGTTGAGTAATTCTTGAATTTTGTTGTTATATTCAATTTTATCCATGATGACAGTGGCATTGCCCTTGTCGGCTGAGAGGATGACAATGTCATCCCTCTTTTTTAATCTATATAATTCAAAACGCTCATCTTGCTGAGGTTGCTAGCTGGCATCTTAGCGTTTTTAAGGGCTGCAGCGATTTCAGATCTTGCTACGTCTGCAGCGATGTGACCCAGGCCCTTGAGAGCCACGTCTACTTGGGCAATGATATAATTAACTGGTATGTGTTTAGGTGTGACTGCAAACTTTAGCCCTTTAGCTAAAACGGATTTCAGATCATCGGAAATAGAACTGTTACTGCGATTAATTACGACTTTGTTAACGTCTAGCTTTTTGGTGTGTGGGTCCGGTCTTTTGTTTGAGAGGAGGTTAAATTTGGAAATCAGGTTATCCTCACATTTGGTCGACATAGTGGCAGCTGAAGAGGCAGTCATATTGTCTACATGTTCCCAATCCGATGTGGACATCGTTGCCGTCAATAATAAGTGTGATTTGTAGAGTGTCTTGTCTAACTGATCTAGTTCGGTGCGTATAAGTCTGATTTTCTCTGAGATAAGAGCTAAGCTAGTTCTAGTTAGAATTCGTTTCGCATTAGAAGCAGTTACAGCAGCAGAGGTCAGTGTAAATGCGATTGGTATTACCCCAGAGTCGCTGCATCTCTTCAGAAAGGTGAGAGACTCGATCAGCTGAGCCTTCTTATCCCGGAGTTTGTTGAAGGATCTCAAAGTTATGTGGAAACCATCCTCGTAGAGGCGGTTAAATTTTGTTTTAAAGATTTCGTGACTGCAGGGATTCATATTCTACGTGACTTTACCGAAAGAACCAAGAATATATATCAAGTGGTTGTTTCTGTATGGTGGGAGAAACAGCTTGGCGGATAGTACGGTCAGAGTATCGGTTCATCTTGAGGGCCAGATGTACATGTTTTAATTCACTGGCCAGGTGGTGTTGGTCAGAAATGCAATGAGCCCTATGGTATAATGTTTTGATGAGATAATTATTTTGAGTCGGGTGGTGGTGGGAATCAGAGTTCAAGTAGGAGTCTGTGTGGGTGGACTTCCCGTAAACAGAATGTCCCAAAGAGCCATCGGTCCTCCTCTCAAACAGAACATCCCAGAATGGCAGCTTGCCATCTTTCTCCACTTCCATGGTGAATTTGATGGATGGGTGTCTGGAATTAATGTGGTTTAGGAAATGGTTCAATGCTGGGAGGCCATTGGGCCAGATGACGAAAGTTTCATCCACATATCTCTTCCATAGGGAAGGGCGAAGGGTGGATGTCTGGATGGCGTCTGATTCAAATTTCTCCATGAAAACATTGGCTATCACTGGTGACAAAGGGGAGCCCATAGGGGTACCCTCATTTTGTTTGTAGAAGGTACCATTCCAGGTAAAGTAAGTGTTGGTGAGGCAATGTCTAACCAGCGTAGGAACATCAGGATTCAGTCCATGTTGGACCAAATCTTCAATTATTGTCATGGTGTCAGGCACTGAGACCTTGGTAAACAGAGAGACCACATCAAATCTGACGAGGATATCGTCAGAAGACAGTACAATGTCCTTGACCATAGAAACCAATTGGGTTGAGTTAAGTACTGCTGAGGTGGTCTTGCCAGTGAAGGGAAGCAGAGTGTCCGATAAAAAACGGGCTAGTTTGTAGGTAGGAGAGTTGATCGTGGACACAATGGGTCGTAGTGGTGTACCTTCTTTATGGATCTTGGGAAGACCATAGAATCTGGGAGGTCTAGCAGCCAAGGGTTTTAGGGAGGGAAGTTTGGATGGTTCGATTAGGGAAGTCGAACTGGTGATGATCTTGTTGGTTTTTATCGTTAGGCTGTTAGTAGGATCACTTTTAATTTTTGAGTAACTCCCATCATTGAGTAGGCAGTAAGTAATGGCAAAGCAGTTATAAGTGACTCAGAATTGTGCGCAGTTGCGTATACGGTACACGACTTCCCTAAAGGTATACCTTCAGCGAGCATGATGCCGATCACACATGATTCGAATTCGACCCTCGATCGATGGCTGCGCCATCGCCGCACACGCGTCGAATAAAAAGCAAGGAACAAGTCCTTACTAACAACTCTTATCATATTCTTAGCTCTTTCGGTAAAGTCACGTTGAAGGGGATCACAAAAAAGATCTCCAAAATCTTGAATAAACACAAAATCCAGGTCCGTTTCAACACATTACATAAAATCCGTGAGCTGGTTCCGTCTATAAAAGATGTTATTCCGGACATACAGTACCCTGGTGTCTACAAACTAAGTTGCCTCTGTGGTAGTAGTTACATTCGGGAAACCAAGCGCCATGTCTCAGACCGCATTCGTGAACACAAAGCAGACCTTAAACACGGTAGGACCAACACCTCGGCCGTGGCAGATCATTGTTATAATTCAGTAGGCTCACATGACATTGACTTTTCCAAGACAGAGGTTCTTTGTAAGCCATCTGGTTACCATGAGAGATTCGTTCATGAGGCTATCCGCATATACAAGCACAGAGAGAATTTCAACCAAGAAGATGGATTCTGGCTTAGCAATCATTGAAAAGATTTGATAAACCATTTCAGGTCTTAATTGATTGTTCACGCTTACAGTGGCTTTCAGACAGCATACATTAATTTTTCGTCTCCCCCCTCCTCTTTTCAGAACATAGATGGACTAGTCCTAAATAAACTGCCAAATCGCTGCGCGTGGCGCTGACGTTTTGTATAAATAAATACACCGTTTTAAAAATAAATAAATTAATGCAAACCGACACACCTGATGATGACCGTTTGTGTTATGGTCGAAACGTCGTGATAATTTTTATTGTTTTATATATATTTTATTCTTTTATTGTTTCCCTTCAACGTGACTTTACCGAAAGAGCTAAGAATATGAATTACTGCAGTCACGAAAGCTTTAAATCAAAATTTAACTCTTAGCATGTTTCATTGCTGGAGGGGATGCCCCCCCTACCTGAAAATCCTGGCTCCGCCATTGCGCAAAAGCACATAAAATGGCTATTATTCCCCACAAACTTTGCTTTTGTGACCAGGACAGTGATATTTTGAAATTGACCTATCTTCCAGAACATTCCAGATAGATTCAGTGCTGAATAAACTTTAAGTAACTTCTAGAACATTCTAGAACTTCCCAGTAATATAAATAGTAGTCAGTTTAGTTTCAGCTGCCTAAGTGGATACATATTTGCATTTTTCTGAAATGGCATCAAGAGGCTGCAAACATCCGTCAGACGCATTTTGCTATGTCTACGGCCAATTTATCAAGACAAGAGCGAAACAGTACTCTGCGGAAGCATCTGCTAAGATGTGTGAGGCCCACAAGGCATATTTCGGATATTTCGGCATGCCTGTCGGGGATCAAGACAAACCCTGGGCACCTCATTTCACCTGCGAGCAATGCAATAAAACTATGGAAGGTAAGATGGACATTTGTTGCTCGGAATTTTATGTTATAAATTTGTTTTAAAAAATTAAAATTGTAAAAGTTTGTAACTTTAAAATGTTCTACAAATTTCAATGTTATTGAAAAAAAGATATCATATATGCAAAATGTTGCGAGAATCTCTTACACAGTCATGGGTGAAATAAATGTATTTTTGTAGGATGGTACAGAGGGTAAAAGAGAGGCATGAAGTTCGCTATCCCAAGAATTTGGCAGAAACCCAATGACCACTCAAGCAACTGCTACTTCTGCATGGTGGACCCTTCCAAACGTAGGACTGTAAAGAATGCACCTGCTATCACGTATCTGGACCTTCCTTCATTCATCGCCCCGGTGCCACACTGCCATGAGCTCCCCGTACCCATTCCTCTGGAGAGAGAGAAGCCGTCTTTAGAAGAGAGCAGCAAGTCAGAGAGCGAGGAAGATGTTGTAGATCCAGATGACAATTTCAGAGGTGGAGCTGAGGAGAGAAACCCATACTAACTAAAACTTCAACGACTTGATCAGAGATCTTGGTCTCACCAAGTCCAATTCCGAGCTTTTGTGCAAGTCGCAGATCAGAGGAAGCGTCACAAACCTTTTTGCAGCTTCTTCACCCATCAAGATGGGCTCTGCTTCCGCCACAATGTGACCAGTCTGTTTGAGGCAATCGGAATCGCCTGTAACCACAGTGGCGCCTCTTCATTGACGGCGCATCCAGGAGCCTCAAAGCCGTGGTGCTCCATAATAGTAACAAGTACCTGTCTCTTCTCCTGGCTCACTCGGTGCACCTCAAAGAGGATTACAACAGCTCCAGGCTGCCGGTTCTGAGAGTGGACTCGTCGTTGTCGTCATTGTCGTCGTCGCCGCCTTCGTCGCTGCCGCCGCCTTCATCACTACTGCCTTCGCCCAATCATTGCGCGGCCGGACAGTAGTTGGTTGTCTCGGTCAACGCCGTTGGTACAACGCGGACAGGGTCGTGTCTGGGCCGGGTCGTACGGCAGCGTGGTCGTTAGATAGGGGGCTGGAGTTGGTGGCGTGAACACAATAAAAGGGAAGGACCGTGCCTCCTGCGACCACCTCGTCTTCGACTGAGTGTGTGCGCGACACACGCCACCCGCACACACACACAAGCATTGAGGAGAAGGAAGAAGAGACTTCCGACACTACACTATTATTGGTCTGCTGGTCTGTACATGGAGTAATAATTATGATTATAAATGAACATATTTTGAGTGGAGTTAGAGTGAGAACAGCTTAGAGTATGTGTGTAAAGCCAGGACTTAAAACGTTTGTTTTCGTAATTTCTGTGCCTCAATTTACAGTACAAATGCCATTTCTAACTTCATCACGTGAATTAGTCCATCTATGGGTGTGTGTGTGCGTGGTCAGGGCACTACGTTACAGACCCAGTGGTCCAAGTTTTATTCTGACTCACAGCAACATTGGTGATAAAGAAATGAACTAGTCCTGGGCCTCCCCTAGGACGACTCACACCAACATGAGTATCTAGGTGCAGTGTGTAAAACAGCATTTGGGAGACAAAGGCAGCCAGCATGATGCCACCCCCCCTCCCCCCTGTGTGTAATGCCAGCCTTAATAGGTGCTTGCTAATAGCACTTGCAAAAGGCTACATGGGGGATTTATTTTATCTTTGTGCGTGACTGGGAGCACGCTCACCTCTATGTACCCCTGTGCTGTTGAGATCGCCGCATGCCACCTCTGTGCTTGGTGGATTGCCATGCGTGTGTGGCCTGCACTCACTTGCAGCGCTCGCTGGAAAAAAACAAAACATCCATCATTGTTTCATGATATATACTTTTTGCAATGTTTTTAATGCACAACTGGATTCAAGCCACTGTCAGAGAGTAAGTCCCCATCCACTTGAGAGGTTTGTGCATTCCGTGTGTGGTCAACGAATCCTGGTTATTTCTTTGGTGTGAATTATTCATGATACTATGCAGTTTGCTTCACAGCGAACGTTAAATATCTCATTACATCATTTGAAAAGAGGCCATTGTGTGCCAGCGTCAAGATCCGATTTTGTCCAATTCGAAAAATGATCCAAAAATTACTCAACTGGGATACGGCATAACAATATCACTCCCACTAGCACATGAATGCCTTACAACAGGGTCAGATTCTGAGTCACCTTGTGCCTCACAGGGACAGCTGCCACTGGGGGAGCTCTTTCAATGTTTAAGACCAGATGAGATGCAATTTGCTTATTTTGTGTGTAAAGTACTGTTGTATATATAGGCCTTTTTCCAAAAATTAATGTTAAGAATAATTCTGCCAATATTTTTTTTAAATAATCGATCGGGGTGAGCATGGGGCATGAAAGGGTGAGGCACACCCCACCTCTCACACCCAGCTGCCTTGCCACATTAAAGCAACTGGAGGGAGGCGTTCATGAAGAGCCATTAAATAATAAACTCCGGGGAAAAGGGAGGTTAACGACGATCTGGGAAATCTCCAGATTGTCAAAGGACCATATGACACGACCTCCACGGACGTTTTGGACAGTTTCACAAACATCTCCAGACAAAGAGCAGGGACAAATGGACGTTACAACTGGCGTTTTTTTTTACTTCGGTAAAAGTTCGAAACTTAGCAACAAGAACAAATCGACATTATAGACTGCAGTCTAGATTAGCGCTTTCATTATGACTTATTTTATTTCACCCTTATTCACCTCATATATTGTTTCTCATTGTATCTTTCTATCTACGTGACTTTACCAAAAGAACCAAGGAATATGATTTCTGGCAGTCAAGAAAGCTTAAGTGAAATAGTTATATCTCCAACCTCAGGATATCAAAATATAATTCAGGAATAAAAAGCATGGATCCCTGGATACAGACGGAGAACAAAGGTTAATAAAACCCTCGGAATACCTATAGTACATCACGAATAATAATCATTAAGTATTAGACCTAGGGTAAGTCAAAAGAGATACAAAGCGAAATAGGTCACTCACACACAACCAAGATAATATGTATTCCATAGGACCAGAGCCCAAACCGCCTTTGTCTTCCAACAATTCGACACAACACATGGTAGCAATCAATTCTATATTTGAAGCTTTCGTGACTGCAAGGATCCATACTCTTTGGTTCTATTCGGTAAAGTCACGTAGGTAAAAAATAAAACAACAAAAATCATGACGTTTTGGCCACAACACAAGCGGCCTTCATCAGGTGAAGGGAGCAGACTGTCTCGAGGACAGCGCTGGAGTGAAACACAGCCAAGCTCAGACCGCGACTTTTAAGCTGTGTGAGAGTAATTAAGGTGCCTTGACAAAGGAATTAGCATAAAATTTGCATTTTAATAGGCGGACTTAGCATGATGAAAGGTAGGGAGGGGGTCGACCTGTGCAGGCTGGCGAGGGGGCACGGCAGCATCCACATGCTGGTGGTGTGAAAAGGGGATTTTAAGAAGCTGCGAAAGTTTGGGGTACCACTACTTGAAAAATATACTGTACCATTGAAAAATTAGTTTAATGTTTGGTTCGATTTAGAACATCTTTCCAATGGTTGCTTAATTTGAAACCATCTTCTCGGTTGAAATTGTGTCTGTGTTTGTAGATCTGAATTGCCTCGTGAACAAATCTCTGATAAAAACCCGTGGGTTTGCAAAGAACCTTGGTATCGGAGAAAATTATATCGTGATCACCCACAGCGTTGTAACAGTGATCAGCTACGGCAGAAGAATTCGTTCTGCCGTGTTTCAAATCTGATTTGTGCTCGCGAATATTCCTACTTGAAGCCTGATTCCCACCACCACCCAGCTCAGAAGAATTCTCTCATCAAAACTTTATACCATAGGGCTCATTGCATTTCGGACCAACACCACCTGACCAGTGAATTAAAACATGTAACACCTGGCCCTCAAAAGGAATGGATACTCTGACCGTACCATCCGCCAAGCTGTTTCTCCCTCCATACAGAAACAACCACTTGATACTCCGGTCAAAACCATCACACTACCATATATAGCAGGCGTTACTAAAAAGATTTCCAAAATTCTAAACAAACCCAAGATCCAGGTCCGGTTCAATACAGTACACAAAATTCGTGATCTTATCCCATCCGTGAAGGATGTCATTCCTGACTTACAGTACCCCGGGGTTTACAAATTGAGTTGTACCTGCGGTGATTGCTAAATCGGGGAGACGAAGCAACATGTCTCTGACCGAATTCGCGAGCACAAATCAGATTTGAAAAACGGCAGAACGAATTCTTCTGCCGTAGCTGATCACTGTTACAACGCTGTCGGTGATCACGATATAATTTTCTCCGATACCAAGGTTCTTTGCAAACCCACGGGTTTTTATCAGAGATTTGTTCACGAGGCAATTCAGATCTACAAACACAGACACAATTTCAACCGAGAAGATGGTTTCAAATTAAGCAACCATTGGAAAAGATGTTCTAAATCAAACCAAACATTAAACTAATTTTTCAATGGTACAGTATATTTTTCAAGTAGTGGTACCCCAAACTTTCGCAGTTTCTTAAAATCCCCTTTTCACACCACCAGCATGTGGACGCTGCCGTGCCCCCTCACCAGCCTGCACAGGTCGACCCCCTCCCTACCTTTCATCATGCTAAGTCCGCCTATTAAAATGCAAATTTTTATGCGAATTCCTTTGTCAAGGCACCTTAATTACTCTCACACAGCTTAAAGGTCGCGGTCTGAGCTTGGCTGTGTTTCACTCCAGCGCTGTCCTCGAGACAGTCTGCTCCCTTCACCTGATGAAGGCCGCTTGTGTTGTGGCCAAAACGTCATGATTTTTGTTGTTTTATTTTTTACCTACGTGACTTTACCGAATAGAACCAAAGAGTATGGTAGCAATCAATTACGTATGAAGGGAGGGCCTCTCCTTGAGATAGCGGACACCACGAAGGCAGAAAGGGGGGGGGGTGGACCAAACATAAATATAGTATGGAAAGCAGCCAGTCAAAGGTCAAAGGGGGGGGGGGGGGCAACCATGCGACTGTGGCCACGGGAGGAGAATGAGAGAGAGAGCATCTATTTTTTTTTCGCAAGAGACGCGCAGAGGGGAGAGAATTTCACATATCAGCAAGGACACAGATCATGCAACTTAGTTCTGCTAGCGGCAGGCTCTGAGAACCTGCCCCCGTGACAGACACATTGATAGGGAGCTGCATCAGCAGAATTCACAAGTCTACGAAGTCAATGGAAATTCAGTCTTGCTGCGGCAAGCTCCGGAAGTGGGCCCCGCAATCGACCAAGGATGGTGAGGCTTGCAGAGTAGCGATGTGTCACCGAGTGTGAGTTCAGAGCTGCAAGACGAAGTATTGCTAAAAGTTTTATTCTACATTGAGTGCCAGCTCTCACCAGAAGCTGTAGCCCGAGAGAAATAGTGACGAGCAACGTCAAGCATAATCTTAGCTCTTTCGGTAAAGTCACGTTGAAGGGAAACAATAAAATAATAAAATATATATAAAATAATAAAAATTCTCACGTTTCGACCATAACACAAACGATCGTCATCAGGTGTGTCGGTTTGCATAAATTAATTTATTTTGGAACGGCGTATTTATGTATTTATTTTAAAAACTTCAGCGCCACGTGCAGCGATTTGGCAGTTTATTTAGAAGGACTAGTCCATCTATGTTCTGAAAAGAGGAGGGGGGAGACGAAAAATTAATGTATGCTGTCTGAAAGCCACTGTAAGCGTGAACAATTAAGACCTGAAATGGTTAATCAAATCTTTCCAATGATTGCTAAGCCAGAATCCATCTTCTCGGTTGAAATTGTCTCTGTGCTTGTATATGTGGATAGCCTCATGAACGAATCTCTCATGGTAGCCAGATGGCTTACAAATAACCTCTGTCTTGGAAAAGTCAATGTCATGTGAGCCTACTGAATGATAACAATGATCTGCCACGGCCGAGGTGTTGGTCCTACCGTGTTTAAGGTCTGCTTTGTGTTCACGAATGCGGTCCGAGACATGGCGTTTGGTTTCTACAATGTAACTACTACCACAAAGGCAACTTAGTTTTCGAAACGTCGTGAGAATTTTTATTGTTTTATATATTTTATTATTTTATTGTTTCCCTTCAACGTGACTTTACCGAAAGAGCTAAGAATATGAATTACTGCAGTCACGAAAGCTTTAAATCAAAATTCAACGTCAAGCAATCAACCTCGAGCAAGGGCGGAAAGCGTCAAGCATCGACTAAGCGAGCATCGCACAGCATCGGCAACCAACGAACGAGCCGCAAGAGCAATCGTGCATCGCCAGAGAGCACGGGGCAGGAGAGAGCGCACAACCAGCTCCACCGAGCAAGGGTGTCTGCCACCAGCGAACGAGCTCCGAGTGCATCGCAAGAGAGCACGGGGCAGGAGAGAGGGCGCAACCATCGCCACCGGGCGGGGGTGTCAGCGGCCAGTGGACGAGCTGCGAGCGCGATCGAGCACCTTCAAAAACAAGCGTCGTGCCGACTCAGCTCATCCAGCAGCGAAGCAGACTGCAGCTGCCGCCTCGAGAGAGAGAGGGAGAGCCGTGTGTATGACACACCCACACTCACACACTCATTGCCCAGCAGGGGACCAAGGCATAATCGGTACAAGGAACGCCCCACCTCAACGTCTGCTTAACGCAAAGGGTTGAGCAAGGAGACAATCCACCAACATACACATAATGCACATATCGGAACTAATAAGAGTACTCCAAAGTTATCCTTGTGTTTCGCCCATTGAGTTACGTGGATATGGTCGTGAGAAGTATTTTAGTCATTCTTTTTGTTAATTGCATAACTGTACCAATGAATTCAATGATAAAACTAAACATTTAGAATATCTATGTTACGAATCTACACATTCACAGGGAGACTATTGTGTTAAAATCTCTTTTGATGACAGAATCTTGCCCGCGAATGTATTGAAGCCTTAGCCAATTGATAAGCATTTGCTAGACAGACAGGCACACTTCCACACAACATTGTTCCAAGACATTTCCTTAATTGCATCTTACCAAAGAATTCATTGAGGTCTACCTTTGCTTTCGGGACATGTTTCTGTATTGCTGTTCGCATGAATAGTCACATTCATTTTTAAGGATTTTTTCCTATCGCCGTGTATGCTCGCTTTACTCTGAAGAATTAACCGATTGTTCTGTTACCTAGTTTAACAATCGTAATCATTGAGGGTTACACATACGGATCAATGAGAACATCTCCAGGAGTACTGTGTTGACATTCCTAGCATAAGAGTTCGCATATTAGAGTGTTATGTTTTTTTTAGAGATTAAAGTTGTTTAACACAGAAGAGTCTGAGTGGTGCCTTCCTGAGTTTATGCATAATAATCTTAATGATAAGAACTGTATCCTGCGGTGAGATCTGAATCTTGAGACCTGACATAAAACACACTAAGACATAATCAGTAAAAGTTAAAGCGAGAATCATTGTACAGTGGTACCTCGGTATACGTCGTTAATTCGTTCCGGAAGGTAAGACTTATACCGAAAATGACGTATACCAAACGAATTTTTCCAATAAGAAATAAAGGGAAAGGAAATAATCCGTTCCAGAGTATAAGAAATTATATTTTATATGGCATATTATACATTAATGGGGTTGTATAAAATAATGTAGACACTACTTATTACTAAAATGCATACATACATTAAAATGACAAAAAACAAGTGAAAATTCAGAGAGTTATAGCAAGAGTTGTGCACTGTACGAGATCTACTGTACAGGCAGACTGAGGAGCGGCGCTTTGTCTCAGTCGTGAACGAAGTAGACGCGGGGACGCGGTGACTCATCCCGACCCATACAAGTTCTAGCAAGCGCGTCGTATCCCAAGCAAGACGTCGTATCCCAAGACATTTTTTTATCGTCAAAACACGACGTATACCAAATTCGACGTATTCCAAAGCGTTCATATACCGAGGTATGACTGTATTATCCCGATTGATAATACAACCCTAGACAACGATGCCGAGCTTAATTAGCATACTTACATCACACTTGCATAACTTCATACAATTAATTGTATTATCCCGATTGATAATACAACCCTAGACAACGAAGCCGAGCTTAATCAGCATACTTACATCACATTTGTATAGCTTCATACAATGTATTGTATTATTCCGATTGATAATACAACCCTAGACAACGAGGCAGAGCCTAATTATCAAAATTGCACACAGCATAATTGCCAACATGTGCATAACTTAATACAATTACACATTCCTAATTAGCATAATTACTCTGCATAACATAAATTACCATAAATTAGCATAATCACAAATTTCTCTATTTTTATTTGTATTATTCTTATTAAATTTTCAAGACCCAATATATACAACAGTACTATGAGATGCTAACACTCAACTTTTTCTTTTACCAGGTAAAGCCCACTGAGCTAAATAGCTATTTTCCAGAAGCGACCTGGCCACAAATGATAACTTAACAAAGTGGCTTATCATGCAGAAATTAATAGCAGTGAAATACTCTAAACGCGTGATGTTGATTCTAAATGTGGAAGAAAAAACCATAGGACTCAGAGAAAATCCATGCGACCACAGGGAGAGAGAACATGCAAACTCCAAATATACAGGCGGCAGGGTTGGGATCGAACCCACGACCTCCTCCATACCAGGGGAGCGAAATAACGTCTCGAGTCACTGTGGCAACCCCAGAAAGAAGGGCAAAGACTTATAATTGTCATTATGACTATCTGTGTGAGAGCTGTGCACGTTTCTGTGTGTGGTATGTGCTGCACTGATTACCGCGAGGCAGTTGGTCTGCACTAGCTTCTGGCCCAAACCTTGTGTCACACGCTGGCGTGCTCTGCTCTGCAGGTGAGCCACCTTCTTGATCACGTGACCAATCTCAGAGCGGATTGCCATCACCTCCTTCTGACCTTGTGCAGCTTCTTCCAGCATGCGGGCGCACTCTGACACACGTGGGCACAGGGGTTTTCTCCACAGGTGCATATATCAGATTATGCAGAGAACATAATTTATATTGTGGTATTGTATTATTGATATTGTTTGATTACCTAGCGTAGCCTCAGTCTCAAAATACTTTGTCTGGATGGTCCGACCAAGACTGGAGTTGGGGGTAATGTTACTATGTATAATCCCAAATGACTAATTTTCAGGTAAATATTCAGCATTGGGATGTTTAGTTAACACCCCTTCTTACATTGCTTTGTTAGCGTATGCGCTGAAACCAGATAAACTGGAGAAAACCCACACAGGACAGGGGTTGATCATAACTTCACACATAAAGGCACCAAAGTTGGGAATCAAACCCAGGTCCTTGCTGGGTTTACACAGCATACCCATAGAGCCTTCATATTAGCCTTTGTGTATAATACAAAATGTCACAATTACCAAATGTACTAACAGGCAAACCTCACTAGAGCGACCACGTAGAATGCTGATTATTTATAGCACTCTTTGTCCTGGAGAAAATTTTTCCAAAAAATGTAAGAAAATAAAAACATCTATACTGTAAAGCACCTACAAATTTTAGTGAGAATACGCAGCAGTGCTGGCCGAGGAAATGTATCCACCCCCATCATTCTCTGATGCATGGCTCTCAGCCAACCAGACCCCACCCCCAGAGATTCGATTGGCTGCTACAAATTTTCACATGATAAGCCACTTCATTAGGCAATAATTTGTGGCCAGGTCGCTTCTGAAAAAGAGCTATATAGCTCAGTGGGCCTTACCTGGTAAAAAAAAAATAGTTGAGCTTAGTTTTATCACGATTCGTAGTCACGATAACATTTTTTTAAATATCTTTTTTTTAATGTCAATGTTAGCGAGATGAGAACTCACGAAAACAGGATAGTCTCTAGGCTCCACCAGAAAATAAACCTCACTGAGAATGACCGCGATTGGGAGTTCAGCAGCAGCTCCTACAACCTCGCCTCTCACCGCTGCCTTGTAGGGGTGCAGTAGAATGCACTCATGAGTACAGTACATCATACTTACTGATGTTATAATCAATTCTTCTTATATTACTCATACAAAAGAAATAACGCTATCGGGACTGCATCTGCATATATAGAATGGTATTATGACCCCATTTACCGCTTATTCGATGAGTGCTCACTTCTTCAGGAACGCATGTTCAGTGACAAAGCGAGGTCTGCCTGTATGTATTTATTATGTACTAGCACTTCCCACGCATTTGTGTGGGATATAACTTAAGTGATTGCAAATTATATGGATTCCTTGATGACACTCACTAGTCAATTCTAAATCAACAAAAACATCATAACAACATCAACAATGATTTGACATAACAATAACATCTACAATGACATTATCAACAGTAATAATGTTCATATCAACAACAATAATATATCAACATCAACAACATATTAAAACAACTATTAATTGTTAATATCATCACAACGTGTATAAATAGTAGTAACAGTTGTACAACTATTTTACAACCACAAATAAAGCCACAATATAACTACAACCATCAATCACAACTATAGAGACATAACCACAATAGCTGCAATATAACCACAACTATATCCACAACCTGCATCGTAAAAACTATAACCACATTGCAACCACAGGCATAACCACCACAGAACCACAGCCACATAACCACAGCAGACAAAATATAACCACAACCACAATTTAAGCACAACCACAACAGGCACATTATAACCACAACACATTATAACCCCATTGAAACCACATAACCACAATTTTATAAGCACAACCACATAACTTCAACATTACAACAGTCACATTATTACCAAAATCATAACATAACCACCACATAAGTACACTTATAACTACCACATTACCACCAGAACTACAATACATCAAGAACAAAATATCCACAACATAACCACAACCCAAATAATCACAACCACATTATAACCACAACCATGACAACCTAACCAAACTATAACCACATTCTAACAACCATAAGATCATATAATCCCAACCAAAACTACATTTCAACCACAACCATAATAACCACATTATAATCACTAACAAATTATAAACACAACCATCACATTATAACCATCACCACGTTAAATAATCACAACCAGACACATGCTATCCACAACCATAAGCTTATTCAAAACACAACCAAAACCAAATTATAACCACAAACACATAACCAAAAATGTAAACATATTTTAAGCACAACCATAACCACAACTACCACATTATAACCACAACAATGAGCACATTATAATCACAACCATAACCATGTTCTAACCACAACCATAACCATATTATAATCACAACCATAACCAGAACCATGGCGTGTGTGGTGGAAGAAGCGCTGACACATTTCCCTGCCAAATCTGGACAATCCCAACTCAACCTAAGCGCAAATGGAGAGGACACAGGCATTGACTAATACATTTTTTTACCTGTTTCAGCACATTCGTTAATAGTAAATTAATGTCACATTCATTTAAAATGCATCTTCACAGACCTTTAATGCAATTTCCTGGGAATGTCCTCGGCACGGGAAATTGTTTATATTTTATGGATTTTGTCCTCCCACACAGCGTTTGTGAGTTCAAGAGCATGACAGATAAATTAACGGATATACAAATGTAAATTATATACATGTAGAAGGAATTGGCCCTTATTGGTCATATTGTGCTGTATTATATGGCTCTGGTCTCGCTCAACTCTTTGGACTCACAGGACTGTGTACTCACTTGAATCACTGTGCGATGTTGTAATTACTCTTGACGTATGGCATGGTATTGTGTGTCCTGTAACATTATTACTCCAAATACATGGTACTGCACTATTTGGTAGTGACATGGCCCAGCAGTAGGACGTTTGGTGCTTGTTGCAGAGGTTCATGGTTTAAACCTAGCAGGCCACCCTGGTTGATACTGCGGTGTGCCTTAACGGTATATTACCACACACCATCTGCTTAATTTAGAGTGGACGTTAAAAATCCTCTAATGTAACTCGAAATGAGTAGGCCATGTGCACTGGCATCATAGTAAAATATATATATTTATAAATTCCCAAAATTACACAGTGAATTACTCCATTGGAAAACACATATCAAGAATCTCCCCCGACTGACAAAACGAATGCCTTCTTGCAGGTGAGGTGCTGAGTCACCTTGTGCTCCAGAGACTGCTGCCACTGGGGTTACCATTAAAGTGTTTGAGATGAGATGTAAGGTGCTTCTCACGTATTAAACGCTTTGAGACACGCCGGCATACAGAAAGCCACTCTAAAGCAAATTATTATTACGACTTGTGCATAAACATCTGTTCCATACCACGTGTATACCTGGGGACAGTGGGCCAATAGGATCTGGGCTCCATTGGGCAGAAGGAGTCGTATGACTTAGACGACTGGGTGTTGCGTGTCCGATCAAGTCTAGCACACAGGACCTCTCAGAGATGCACGCCAGCAACCGCTTACGGCAAAGGGCCAAGTTCTGCACGGAGAGAAAAACATGTTCAAAGAATAACACTGTAGTTATAAATGCAATGTCCGTATGTATGTCTAACTTATTTCGCACCGTACATAGCCAACCGTGCTAATTGGAGGTGCAATCATGCAACATATACATTTACAAATAATGTAGTGCCCTCAAGTCGAATAGGTACTATCTTAGTAAACCTGCTCATCACCATCATCAGCCATGCCCAATCCACTGCCGGATGAATGCCTCCCCATGCCACTGCCACCTCTCAGGATCCTGCGATGCAGGAATCCATCCAGCACCTGCACGCGAACTGATCTTATCACTCCATCTCCTTGATTGCATTCCATTCCTTCGGTGCAACTCCATTGTTATTCTTGACCATTGCTGATTACCCCTTCTCGCCAGGATTATATTCTGCCCGAGCCCAATTACTTTTTTAAATAACTTTTCTTACTAGTTTTGATGTTAGTTAAAACTGTTAAACGAATTTAAAAAAATACGACTGGAAGGAATGCAAAGTTCTGTGCCCAATTGCAAAAAAACACCATGGATTATCTGGCAATCCCTGCAGGCAGCAGTAACTAGGCTTTTCCTCAATAAGAGTAGTGCATGTATAAGACGAGTGAGTTGTGTGCATGAACACAACGGGGTGGTGACATGGCCCAACAGGAGCATGTCCGCTGCCTGTTTCAAAAAGATTGCGGTTTGAATCTGGCAGGCCGTCATGGTTATTCATTGGAGTTTATTAATCATACAAATACACTCTGATCTCCTATAACGCATAGTATTCATAACGCGAATTTGATATAATGCAATGAATATATTAGGGAACACATTTTTATAATGCGTAAGCGAATTGGATATAACGCGATTGAGTGACTGGAACTACTTTGCGCGAGTAGGAATAAGTGGTTGTACGGCTACCTCGGCGTAGCATTATCGCACAAGGCGGCGGGATGCTGCTGGATAATTCTAGATGCTATCCACGCACCTCAGTGTTTGTTCGGCCTGCGTATGCATCTCACGTGTTATCGCGGACTGTGCTTTATCCTATGTTATGTTATGTATTATAATGCAATTTTTCCATAACACGGTGTTTTTCAGGAACGCAACTACCACGTTATAGGAAAATAGACTGTATACACCATCTGCTTCACAGTTGACGTTAAAGATCCCCTGAAATAATTTGAAATGAGGTCATTGTGTGCTGGGAAGTCATGGTTCAAATTTTGGAAATGACCCACAAATTACTCAATTGAGATACACATAGGAACATCACCCTCTACCGGCAGACTAATATCTTCTTGCTGGTCGGTACGGAGTCCTCTTGTGCCACACGGGGACAGCTGCTGCTGGCGATGCCTTTTTCAATGTGCTGAGATGTGATACAAGTTGATAAAAAAGGACTTGAATATCTTAACATCTGTTTTATTGCCAAAAAGGGTAAAACCTATTCTTATGTTTCAACATTGTTGATCCTGGCAAAAATGTCCCATAGATATTACTGCTCGACCAGAGATATGTGTTCTGATACTTGCATTGTCCTTGTACTGTGTACCTTTTGGTGTTCTCTGGTCTAAAACTGTTCAGACAAGGCCATAAAGAAGGCTGTCTCTGGTGTAGGCCAATCGGTTTTAAGGACTGAATATATTATCAGAGCATGTTTGATTGCATGTTTTTCCACAAGTATGTGTGGTTAATATAGAATTGATTCCTTGCAAAAAGGTATCTATTTGGTGTTGGAACATCTATAAACCTCCTGGTGTATTGTCATAAAGGGTAAAACCTATGATTATTTTTTATTATTTTTGATACTGGGTAAAAAGGTCCCATAGATATGATGCAAGTTGCTTATTGCGTGTAAAGCGCTCTGAGTCACCCCGGTGTGAAGTGGGCGCTCTATCAATAATAAACCAGTGTTGCGGTGTGCTACGCTGTACTGCTTGATGCGCTGACACACTTGCTGCAAGGCTTCAGCGCGCAGCAGCGTTTCTGCTAGGACGCTCTCCAACTCCGCCAGCTGCTTCCGCTCAACACCAAGCAGCACGTCCACTTCATCTGGACCCTACAGTCCCAGCCAGACCAAGAGAAGAGTTCATACATGACATGCATTCAGTGAGCTCCCAGCACTCTGAGTACCAGTGTACATGGTAGGGTTGTTAAACAGTAACCAATAAGCCTGCAACCATTAGAATCAAGTACCAGTTCTGAAAGTCAGGGAGTGGTTATCGTTTCCAGTCGGGTTATTGGTATGAAGAGATGGGCGCACCCAAACTTTACCCCACCACACGCAGCCTGCCCTTGGACTGTGCTGTACAACATTTACATTGCTGGCTGGACAGAGGCAGTAGGGGGGGGGGAATTCGAGAAACTTGCACCGTTGTTTCAACTGCCATGCCAGGAGATAGAAACAAACTGGTGACCTTAGGATTATTGCAAATTCAGTGTGCTAACTATTACAACGTGGCAAATCACCCACACGCTCACTCACCGAGCTACACACTCATCTGTACACACATTCACTCAGGACCGCAGCTCACAACACTTCTCTTTCTGCTTCTTCTCTCGCACTGACCCCAAGCACAAACATCAAGGTGCTTTACAATGGGGGGAGGGGGGGTAAGAAGTGGCTAAGTTAAAATTCGAGATGCTTTCTTTAAAGATCAATATTTTTAGGGGGGACCTGGAGGCCCAAACCGAACTAGACTCCCTGACCAACTTTGGCAGAGTCCAAAGTCCAGTGGCCACTGAAGCAAAGGACCGGTCGCCCATGGACCACTTGAGCTTTCTTCTCGCGATACAGAGGAGATCTAAATCAGTGATTCTGATTATGCAATTTACATGAAAATGACGCTTCACAGTGGACGTTACAATTCCCACTGATGTCATTACTACTATAATAGCCCAGAATGTGTGTAATGCACGTGACGTCACTCCACATACCGCACCCCCCGCCCCCGTCATTAATAATAAAATATCATGAGCGGGTGGATTTTTACAATCAGGCGGAAAGCTGAGCGGATAGATATTTTTTTCGCATAGTCGCTTCAAATATGACGTTTCTTTACATAAAGTCAAAAATAAATATACGCAGCAGTGCTAAATCCGTACGTGACGTCACTGCAAAAGAGACCCCCCCCCCCTCATTCATAATCATGAGCAGGTGGATTTTTACACTCCCGCAGGTCGATTGGAAAAAAAATTACGCAAATTCGCTATAAATTTGACGTTTCTTTATTTAAAGTTAATCAAATCAATATTTCTACGCAGCAACAAAGTGTATTTGGTGTCTTTATTTATTTCTTCAGCACTTGAAACAAAAGGTAAGTCGAATTTTTGCTTCTAAATTATTATCAAAGGAGCCTATAGCCCGTCCAAGGACGCGTGTATTGCAGTTAATCTAATATATTCAATCGAAAAAAATGACCCGCTCATGATTATTGAGTGGGGCCGGGGTCACATAAGTGACGTCATCATGCCATGATTATTGAAGGCGGGGAGCTCCATGTGGAGTTACGTCATCATCTCATGATTATTGATGAGGGGAAGCTCCATGTAGAGTGACGTCATCCGCTCATGATTTTTTAATTAGGAAGTTTGTGTCCCGCGCGTGACGTCACTCCACATGCCGCACCCCCCGTCATTAAGAAGGTCGAGCGGAAATAAAAAAAATTCCGCAAATTCGCTTTAAGTTTCACGTTTCTTTATTGAAAGTGAATCTAATAAATAATTCTACGTGTGGATTTGGGGTCTTTATTTTTTTTCAGCACTTGAGACAAAAGATAAGCCTACATTTTGATTAAATAGACATTTCTCGGTGATTTTCCAGATATTGCATTGCAATCCAATTTCTTTGAACACCAGCGACCGAAAGCAGAAGAGAATAAAGTATCAGAGCAGTGAATTAGAACAAATTGAAGGTCAGTTATATTCAGTGCGACAGTGAAATTCAGTGAAGTGTTTTATGACATACTTTCGTGCAAGATTCACTGCCATACAATTTACACAAGATACAATTATACTCTGCCATTTTTTTCGTAAATATTACAGCTTCCGTCCTAGGACGGGCAAAGAAGCTAGTTTGATAAGAGGCCAATGTATGTTGCTGTCATGGTTCAAATTTTACAAATTCACAAATGACCGACAAATTCCTCAATTGGCATTCCACATAGCAACATCACAACATGTGAGCTACTGCAGACTGTATGTGCTGTATTGCGCCTTCGTGATAGCCTTGCGCTGTAAGCCTTGTGCTTTTACGCCTCCCCCTTTTATATCGTTTAGCAAATACGTTGTCACTTTATTATCAACACCACCCCTACCCGACGAGCGTTGCCTCAACCCACACTCATGTCGCTGACAGCATCGTCCGCCCTTTCTCGTAACCATCGCCTCTCAACCTTCACCTCCACCTACCCTGTACACAAAGTACTTTGCGTCGCGCATAAAGAAATGTACTGTACTGTGGAGTACAATATAGTAATTACATACCATATTTTAGTGATTTTCTTTTCATAACGTACTGCATCTAATAATGTGTTAACGTTTACTGCCGAAACTAGTATTGAGTGTAGTATTTTTAGTACTTGAATATAATGTTGCGGGTACGTCTAGGATGAAGATGCACGCATTAACACGGCTTCACCATTGTTTAGTCCTCGTGGCAAAATTGCTTTGATTTACGTCGTTTCGGTATTCGTCGTCGCACATTTAAGGAAACCATCCCCGACATAAACCGGGGTATTACTGTCAACTAAATTATTATTATTCAAGACTTACCACCTCACGTGTAGGTCGTCGCGATCGCATGCTAGAAGCTTGCACATTTGCCTGCTTCTCATTACGAACGTGTCCCAAGGCCTTCTTCAGATCACCTTGACTGTGGGCCAAGGCAACTGCGTGCACGGACAGTGACCCACACTCGGCGCGGAGACGTGCCACCACCCCACGCACCTCGCGACTGTACAGGTACATGTGGCGCACACTCACATTCACCTCCACCTGTCAGGAGGACAGAAACAAGAGTTAGGGACAAAGACATTTTTATTATTGTTACACTTCTTGAGCCAGAAAATCCTGAGTCTCAAGAATATTTTTAACGAGGGTCATGCCATTTTTCTGGCAGCAGGAGGGGATGATGATTGCATGTGTCATCCGAATTCGTTAATTTTGCAAGTAATTTCCAGCATTGGGATGGATGAGCAATACATGTTCAATTGGTTGAGGTTTTTTTTATTTTATGTGAGTCCAACTGAGTTGCAGATATTCTTAGTTCTTTCGGTAAAGTCACGTTGAAGGGAAACAATAAAATAATAAAATACATATTAAACAATAAAAATTCTCACGACGTTTCGACCATAACACAAACGGTCGTCTTCAGGTGTGTCGGTTTGCTTAAATTTATTTATTTTTAAACGGTGTATTTATTTATATAAAAAACCCGTTAGCGCCACGCGCAGCGATTGGGCAGTTTATTTAGAAGGACCAGTCCATCCATGTTCCGAAAAGAGGAGGGGGGAGACGATTTTTTTTTTAATGTATGCTGTCTGAAAGCCACTGTAAGCGTGAACAATCAATTAAGACCTGAAATGGTTTATCAAATCTTTCCAATGATTGCTAAGCCAGAATCCATCTTCTCGGCTGAAATTGTCTCTGTGCTTGTATATGTGGATAGCCTCATGAACGAATCTCTCATGGTAGCCAGATGGCTTACAAAGAACCTCTGTCTTGGAAAAGTCAATGTCATGTGAGCCTACTGAATTATAACAATGATCTGCCAGGGCCGAGGTGTTGGTCCTACCGTGTTTAAAGTCTGCTTTGTGTTCACGAATGCGGTCCGAGACATGGCGTTTGGTTTCTCCAATGTAACTACTACCACAGAGGCAACTTAGTTTGTAGACACCAGGGTATTGTATGTCCGGAATCACATCTTTTACAGACGGAACCAGATCACGGATTTTATGTAATGTGTTGAAACGGACCTGGATCTTGTGTTCATTCAAGATTTTGGAGATCTTTTTTGTGATCCCCGCAATGTAGGGTAAAGTAATGGTTTTGAAAGGCTCCTCAAGAAGGTCCTTCTTCATGGTTTGAGTGATAGCTTTGCGGATTGTATAGTCGGAGTAACCATTAGCCTTAAGAGCTTGGTGTACGTGCTTGAGTTCACTGCCTATGTGTTCCTGGTCGGATATGCATTGGGCTCTATGATACAGAGTCTTGATGAGAGAATTCTTCTGTGATGGATGGTGGTGGGAATCCGGTTTCAGATAAGCATCCGTATGGGTAGCTTTCCTGTAGACAGAGTGGCTCATTGAACCATCAGGCCTCTTTTTAATTAGGACATCCAAAAAAGGTAGCTTGCCATCTATTTCTACTTCCATGGTAAATCTGATGGCTGGGTGTATGGAATTGATGTGGTCAAAGAATTGGTCTAGAGCAGGCCGGCCATGTGGCCAGATGGCAAAAGTGTCATCTACGTACCTCTTCCATAAGGTTGGGCGAAGAGTGGCAGTCTGGATGGCGTCAGTCTCAAATTTCTCCATGAAAATGTTAGCTATAACCGGAGATAGGGGGGAGCCCATTGGGGTGCCCTCAGTTTGTTTGTAGAAAGTTCCATTCCAAGTGAAGTATGTATTGGTTAAACAGTGTCTCACCAGGGGGGTACCTCAGTGTTTAGTCCTTGATGAACCAAGTCTTCAATGATTGCAATGGTGTCAGGTACAGGAACCTTGGTGAATAAGGAAACTACGTCAAAACTGACAAGCAGGTCGTCTGGGGACAGGGAAATACCCTTGATTGTCGATACCAGGTGAGTAGAATTTTGTACCGCAGAGGTGGTTTTTCCAGTGAAAGGACGCAGGATTTCAGACAAAAAATGAGCCAGTTTGTAGGTGGGGGAGTTGATAGTAGAGACGATGGGACGAAGGGGTGTATCTACTTTATGTATTTTTGGTAAGCCGTATAATCTTGGTGGCGTGGCAGCAGAAGGTTTCAACGAAAACTGTTTAGATTGATCAATTAATGCGGTTGAATCAGAAATTATTTTGTTGGTTTGTGTGACGAGGCTGTTGGTGGGATCTCTTTTTATTTTTGTATAACTACCATCGTCGAGTAATTCTTTAATTTTGTTGTTGTATTCTATTTTATCCATGATGACAGTAGCATTGCCTTTGTCAGCTGAGAGGACTACAATATCATCCCTCTGTTTTAATTTGTATAATTCAAAACGCTCATCTTTGCTGAGGTTGCCAGCTGGCATCTTAGAGTTTTTGAGGGTTGCAGCGATTTCAGATCTTACTACGTCTGCAGCGATGTGACCCAGGCCCCTGAGAGCAACGTCTACTTGGGCAATTATATCATTAACTGGTATTTGTTTAGGTGTGACTGCAAAGTTTAGACCTTTAGCTAAAACGGATTTCAGACCATCGGAAATAGAACTGTTACTGCGATTAATTACGACTTTGTTAACGTCTAACTGTTTGGTGTGTGGGTCCGGTCTTTTGTTGAAGAGGAGGTTAAATTTGGAAATCAGGTTGTCCTTACATTTGGTCGACATAGTAGCAGCTGAAGAGGCAGTCATATTGTCTACATGTTCCCAATCCAATGTGGACATTGTTGCCGTCAATGATAAGTGTGATTTGTAGAGTGTCTTGTCTAACTGATCTAGTTCGGTGCGTATAAGTCTGATTTTTTCTGAGATAAGAGCTAAGCTAGTTTTGAAAATAATTCGTTTCGCATTAGAAGAAGTTACAGCAGCAGAGGTCAGTGTAAATGCGATTGGTATTACCCCAGAGTCGCGGCATCTCTTCAGGAAGGTGAGAGACTCGATCAGCTGAGCCTTTTTATCCCGGAGTTTGTTGAAGGATCTTAAAGTTACGTGAAAACCCTCCCCATAGAGGCGGTTAAATTTTGATTTAAAGCTTTCATGACTGCAGTAATTCATATTCTTAGTTCTTTCGGTAAAGTCACGTTGAAGGGAAACAATAAAATAATAAAATATATATAAAACAATCAAAATTCTCACGACGTTTCGACCATAACACAAACGGTCGTCTTCAGGTGTGTCAGTTTGCATAAATTTATTTATTTTCAAACGGTGCATTTATTTATATTAAAAAAAAACGTTAGCGCCGCGCGCAGCGATTGGGCAGTTTATTTAGAAGGACCAGTCCATCCATGTTCCGAAAAGAGGAGGGGGGAGACGAAATTTTTGTTTTTAATGTATGCTGTCTGAAAGCCACTGTAAGCGTGAACAATCAATTAAGACCTGAAATGGTTTATCAAATCTTTCCAATGATTGCTAAGCCAGAATCCATCTTCTCGGTTGAAATTGTCTCTGTGCTTGTATATGTGGATAGCCTCATGAACGAATCTCTCATGGTAGCCAGATGGCTTACAAAGAACCTCTGTCTTGGAAAAGTCAATGTCATGTGAGCCTACTGAATTATAACAATGATCTGCCACGGCCGAGGTGTTGGTCCTACCGTGTTTAAGGTCTGCTTTGTGTTCACGAATGCGGTCCGAGACATGGCGTTTGGTTTCTCCAATGTAACTACTACCACAGAGGCAACTTAGTTTGTAGACACCAGGGTATTGTATGTCCGGAATCACATCTTTTACAGACGGAACCAGATCACGGATTTTATGTAATGTGTTGAAACGGACCTGGATCTTGTGTTTATTCAAGATTTTGGAGATCTTTTTTGTGATCCCCGCAATGTAGGGTAAAGTGATGGTTTTGAAAGGCTCCTCAAGAGGGTCCTTCTTCATGGTTTGAGTGATAGCTTTGCGGATTGTATAGTCGGAGTAACCATTAGCCTTAAGAGCTTGGTGTACGTGCTTGAGTTCACTGCCTATGTGTTCCTGGTCGGATATGCATTGGGCTCTATGATACAGAGTCTTGATGAGAGAATTCTTCTGTGATGGATGGTGGTGGGAATCCGGTTTCAGATAAGCATCCGTATGGGTAGCTTTCCTGTAGACAGAGTGGCTCATTGAACCATCAGGTCTCTTTTTAATTAGGACATCCAAAAAAGGTAGCTTGCCATCTATTTCGACTTCCATGGTAAATCTGATGGCTGGGTGTATGGAATTGATGTGGTCGAAGAATTGGTCTAGAGCAGGCCGGCCATGTGGCCAGATGACAAAAGTGTCATCCACGTACCTCTTCCATAAGGTTGGGCGCAGAGTGGCAGTCTGGATGGCGTCAGTCTCAAATTTCTCCATGAAAATGTTAGCTATAACCGGAGATAGGGGGGAGCCCATTGGGGTGCCCTCAGTTTGTTTGTAGAAAGTTCCATTCCAAGTGAAGTATGTATTGGTTAAACAGTGTCTCACCAGGGGGGGTACCTCAGTGTTTAGTCCTTGATGAACCAAGTCTTCAATGATTGCAATGGTGTCAGGTACAGGAACCTTGGTGAATAAGGAAACTACATCAAAACTGACAAGCAGGTCGTCTGGGGACAGGGAAATACCCTTGATTGTCGATACCAGGTGAGTAGAATTTTGTACCGCAGAGGTGGTTTTTCCAGTGAAAGGACGCAGGATTTCAGACAAAAAACGAGCTAGTTTGTAGGTGGGGGAGTTGATAGTAGAGACGATGGGACGAAGGGGTGTATCTACTTTATGTATTTTTGGTAAGCCGTATAATCTTGGTGGCCTGGCAGCAGAAGGTTTCAACGAAAACTGTTTAGATTGATCAATTAATGCGGTTGAATCAGAAATTATTTTGTTGGTTTGTGTGACGAGGCTGTTGGTGGGATCTTTTTTTTTATTTTTGTATAAATACCATCGTCGAGTAATTCTTTAATTTTGTTGTTGTATTCTATTTTATCCATGATGACAGTAGCATTGCCTTTGTCAGCTGAGAGGACTACAATATCATCCCTCTATTTTAATTTATATAATTCAAAACGCTCATCTTTGCTGAGGTTGCTAGCTGGCATCTTAGCGTTTTTGAGGGTTGCAGCGATTTCAGATCTTGCTACATCTGCAGCGATGTG